GTAATTGGTGGTCTGTTCCACAATCAGCCCCCGGCCTAGTTTTCACAGCTGATATTGAGCTTCTCCAGCGGTTCCTTCCACAGATGTACTCGATCTGATTCCTATGCATACCATCAGGTGAAGTCCATGTGTATAACCTGCGTTTGTGTCTCTTATAGAACTTTTGGGGTAGCCACTAAACTTTTAAAAAATTTTAAAAAAAAATACAGTGAGCGTTTTTACTGTTACATAATGAAAATGACTATCACAGCCATCAAGTTGGCTTGATGACCCTACAGTGGGTTTTCAGAGGCCACAAACTGTGCAGAAGGAAATTGTCCATCTTTCTTCTATGGAGACACTAGTAGATTCGAACAGTCAGAAAGGTGTAATTTTTGGGTCAGCAGTATAACTCCTTACCAACTATGACACCAGAGCATCATGGACAGGACAGAGGTAGTCCACCATACTTCTAGAAATGAAAAATATTGCTCAACTCTGTACTCATAATTTGAAAATGCCTCGTCTAGAGCAGATGCTCTTTGCCTTTTTATTGAGATAAACACAACCTCAAGATCCTAATAAAATATATATGACTTGCACATTTTCCACCAGTATTTGGATTTAAATACTGGCTAGCTCTGGGAAGAATGAGAATCTCAGAACACTTGATTGTGGTTATGCGAGAAGCATACTATACTTGGACCAGGAGGAAGTCATCAGAACAGAGCAAGGAAACATTGCATGGTTCAAAATCAGGAAAGCTGTATGCCAGGGATGCATCCTATGTCCACACCTTTTCAATCTATATGCAGTATAGATCATTCAGGAGGCTGGGCTTTATGAGAAAGACTGTGGTATCAGGAAGGGAGGAAGACTTATTAACAATCTTTGTTATGTAGATGACACAATCTTGCTTACTGCAACTGAGGAGGACCTGAGACATTTGCTGCAGAAGTTCAAGGACTGCAGCTTTCAATATGGACTGAAGCTTAACATCAAGAAAACAAATATTCTAACCACTGGGCCAAATGGCAGTATCATGATAGACTGAGATTGTTAATACTTTCAGCTTGCTTGGCTACAAAATTGGCACTCTTGGTACCAGTAGCCGGGAAATCAAACTACTAATTGCATTGTGAAAATCTGCTGTCAGGGATCTCTCCAGAGTACTGAAGAGCAATGATGTCAGTCTGGAGACTAAGTTGTGGCTGATCCAGGCCATGGTCTTCACAATTATTTGCTATGCATCAGAGAGCTGAACAATGACTAAGGATGATAGAAGAAGAATCAATGCCTTTGAGCTGTGGTGCTGGAGAAGAGTACTGAATGTATCATGGACTGCTAAGAGAACAAACAGGTTCATCCTAGAGAGGGTAAAACCAGCTTCTCCTTGGAGGCAAGGATTCTGAAGCTCTGTATGACATACTTTGGGGATATGGCCAGGAGGGACCAGTCCTTGGAGAGGAACATCATACTTGGAATGGTGGAGGAACAGGGCAAGAGAGGAAGACCCTGGATGAAATGGATCGACTCAGTGACTAGAGTATTGGGGGTAGGTGTGTCAGAGACAATGAAGTTGGCTCAAGATAGAACAGGGTTGAGGGCTGTTGTACACAGGGCTGCTATGAGTTGCAAGTGACTCGAATGCACATAACAAAAGTAGTCAAGCTATGCACTCTTCCTTTTTGAGTGGATGGTCAAAACTTGCTGGACATTTTGCATGAAGTGTGGCAAGCACCAACCCCACAAAGTAACATAGAACAAGAAGGGCAACTCTGTATGCCCAGGGAAAGTGGTGTTATGTTAGGAAGCAGTGTGGCTATGCTAGGGAGACCAATCCAATTTCTCAGAAAAAGGCAAAAACTACGAAGAGGATTGTGTTAAGACTGAAATGTGTTGAGCCAAACTGCAGATCTAAAAGAATGTTGGCTATCAAAAGATGCAAGCACTCTGAACTGGGGGGGAGATAAAAAGTGAAAGGGCCAAGTGATCCAGTTCTAAGCTTCATCTTATTTTATCAAGACAATAAACTCTTTGAAATCTTCATGTTTACTTTATTTGGGAGGAAAATGAAATGTCCTTTTTAATCAAAACAAACAAACAAAAAAGAAACACACTCTTTAGTTTCCACTTCTCTGCTTTCCAATACCTGCATACCAAAAATGTATTACTTTACAATCTCCAAAGGCATCTGAACTTCCATCTCTGGTCTACTGAACTGAAACAGGATGCAAGGGTGGAGGTAGTTCATGGTTAGAAGGAGACCTACAGGACTACTTCAGTGAGCATCCCCTTATGCTTACCTGCTGGTGATTGGGAAAATGTTCCATGGCTTTGAGTAGTAAATGGGTCACATCTGCTAGGAGTCTTACAGGCATCCCTGCAGCAAGATCCTGCTTCGTTAAGTTAAACACACAGGCGCTTGCAGCTAGTTGCACCGGCAAATTCATCGGGTGGTTTCTCATCCCAGTAACCACAAGCTGGAAAATCAAGAGCTCTCGTAATTCACATTCACCTGCGTAATTCACATTATAAATCCATCCTCCTTACATAGCAACATTACCCTGTTATTCTAAATTTCAAAGACATCTTAAGTGTCTTTCACATCCACATGCACAAGAGGTCTAGACATAGCACTTACTCACAAATACAGGCTCATTTCATTTTACTGTGCTTTCCTTTATTATTACCCTTTACAGAGATGATTTTTATAAATTGAAGATTGTTGAATTTTGTGTCCAGTAAGTCTATCAGAACCATTTTCCAACAGCAAGTGCCACTTCATGTCTTTGTGTCACTGTCACACTGTAGTACTTCTCATAGTATTTTATGCTTTTTTCAAAATGCTACTGCATACTTAATGGATTACATTTGTGTAGATATATTCACTAGGAAACAAAAAAATCTTTTGTGACTTGTTTTATCACAATATTCACTTCATTGCAACTGTCTATAATTTGGTCAATGAAGGTATAAAGTTACTCACGTCCATATCATTTCTATACAAACAACTCATCTTAATTTCTGGAAGACAGAATATAGAACCTGTTATTTGGCAGGTGCTAAGTAAATCACTGGCAATTTTCTCTCTCAAATCCCACTGTCAGTTTCTCAGGAATACTGCTAAAGTCATTAGGATAATGACATTTATCCACTCTCTCCTATTTTAGACAACCATTTCTCAATTTGCCTTCTCTTTTCAAATTCTCATCAAATTCTTATTTCTCACTCACAGTTGAAGACTTTGTTTTTAATCACATTGAGAAAACTAAAGAAATTGGAAAATAACTTTAGACTGTCACCACATTTACCGTTCTTCAGCATCCACATCTACACAATCCATTCTCCTCCCTTTTATAAATTAACTATGAAGGTTCCTTTCTGAAACCAACTTCTTTATTAACCCACTAGGTAAGTCTAGTGTGTTAGATGTCTAGCTATCTAGTGTGTTAGATATCTATACAGCCCCTCATAGATACTTTCTTGCTTGTCATTAGTTGTTAGATGTGAAGTCATTTCCGAGTGATAATGACCCTATGTAAGAGAGAATGAAACACTACACAATCTTGCTCCATCTCCACTATCTGAGCTGTGCTTAAATTTATTGCTGTAGTCATTGTTCCACTTTGTTGAGGGTCTGCCTCTCTTTCATTGATCACCTGCTTTTCCAAGTAGGATGTCCATTTCCAGGGACTTAGAGACCTCTTCTGATAACATGCCTAAAGTATGTGAGACCAAGTGTCATCATCCTTGTTTCTAAGGAACACTCTGGCAGTGCACTGAAAAGAGATCCGTTCATTCTTTTGGAAATCCAAGGGATATTCAGTACTCTTTGCCAACACCACAATTCAAAGTCATGAATTCCTCAGTATTCCTTATTAAATATCCAATTTCATATGCATAGGAAGCAATTAAAAATACCATTGCTTGGGTCAGGCTTGGGTCGTAGTCTTTAAAACAACATCCTTGCTCTTTAGCATTTTAAAGTCTTCCATCCACTCAGGCATATCACATCAATTGTACTTCCCTCTTATTCCTTATCAATTCTCTATTTCCTATTGGATCATTCACATCCATATATCAAACAAACTACTGTTTCTTCTATTGCAAAAAATCCCAAAAACATTAAACAAAACATCATTCTATGAGTTTACTTCTTCAGACATCTAACTCTCTACTTTCCACTGTGCAAAACTCCTTAAAATTACTGCCTATACTTTTCCATTTTTCTCCCTTCATTCTTCCTTGAACCTATTCCAAACAGCTCTCACATTCAGTACCAAAAGGTCACAAATTACTTCCATTTTGCTAAATCCAAAGTCCTTATCCTACTTGTCTAATCTATCAACAGCACTTGATACAGCTGTTGCTCATTCCCTCCTCCTAAATTAATTTCTTCATCTGACCCTCATTATGTAATGGTTTGAACCACTGGTTCTGTAGGAGAAAAGAGTTATGGGGCAGTTCTAGTCTGTCATATCTGGGCATAATGAGTTGAAATCTGCTGTTATGGACCTTTTTAAAGTACTAACAAGCAAGGTTGTCAGTTTAAAGACTAAGGTGTAGGGGAGCTCTGGTGGCCTAGTGGCAAAGAACTGCAACTACAATCCCTGAGGCGCACGGTTCAAATCCACCAGATTCTCTGCCGAGGAAGGAGGGACAATCTCCTCCTGTACCAGTCAGATCTGATTTGATGGTACACTCACACAAAAATAATAAAATAAAATAAAATAAATAAAAAAGACTAAGGTGTGCCTGATTTAAGCCATGATATTTTCAATTGCTTACTATGCATCTGAAAGTTGGACAATAAACAGGGATGACAGAAGAAGAATCAATTCTCTTTTGAGTTCCCAGTTGGAAAGGAGTACTGAACGGACTATCAAAAGAACAAACAGATCTGTCTTAGAGGAAGTGCAGCCAAGGTGCTCCTTAGAGACAGAAATGGCAAAATTTTGCCTCACATACTTTGGGCATGTTGTCAGGAGAGGGCAGTCACTGGAAGGGGAAAAAACCCCCATCATGCTGGGAAAGGTGGAGGGTTACCTAAAGAAAGGAAGACTTTTAACAAAGTGGATTGACAAAGTTACTATAACCATAGGCGCAAGCAGGCAAAGACTGTGAAGATGGCACAGGACAGGGCAAGGTTTTGATCTGCTGTTCACAGGGTCACTATTTGTAGTTGTCATGACAATACTAAGTCATTTGGTATTTCATCTGCCTCACTGGAAACTCCTTTGCAATTTTTTCTTCTTTCCCTGATTGCTAATGCTAGGAATGTTCCAGCGCTCAACTCCAGTGCTATAGTTCATCTGCCTATGGATGGCTTTTAAATTCAGCAGTTCAGCTCTAATCTCTCAAATGTTTAAATTATTTACCCAGCTACATATGTGACATTTCTTTGTGGTGATTTGACAGACATATCAAATTCACCTTGTTCAAAGCTGAACTCTGTGTATTTCCCCAAAATTTGTTCTTTCTTTGCTTTACACAACTCAGCTAGTGAAATCACTGCTCTTCCCTCGCATAGTTAAAAATTTTAGGGCATTCCTAATTACTTTTGCTTTAAACATCCAATCCTTCTGGGGATATTATCTCTTCCTTCAAAATATATCTAATATCTATATACCACTTTGATTAGTGGCACCATCAGCTCTTATCTGCTCTGCTAAAAATCTACTTCCATCTTGTCTCTAATATATTTTCAAAGCAATAGACAGGAAGATCAATGGAAATAACCAAGTCTCATTGCTTCTCTGCTCAAAACTCTCCCAATGGCTTATACTTTTTCATTGCCGTTGAGCTGGAACTGACTCATAGCTGATCTTCCAGCAGGTTTTTGGAAGCTGTAAATCTCATGGTAGGAAACGATCCTTCTTTCTCCTGAGGAGCTGCTCGTGGATTTGAACTGCCAGAGTTTGAAATGCCTTTGGGTTAGCAGAGCAACTCTTTACGAACAACACCACCAGATAGTTTAGGAGCTTCATATAATTTCTCAGTATTACTTTGATCTTATCTATTGTCACTCTGCTCTTGGCACACCAGTCATAGTGGTTGTCTTTCCTCCTGCTCCTGCCTTCAAGCCTTTGCTATATTTTCACTATTCAATACAGTAGCCATTAGTCCTACATGGCTTTTTAAGTCTGAAATTAAATATTTTATTCCCTGGCTCCACTAGCCACATTTCACATGTTCAACAGAAATTATGTGGCTAGTGCTTACAGTATGAGACGGCAGAGATACAGACTATTCCCCTAATCACAGAAAGGTCTATTGGAAAGTACTGCTCTAAAAACTGTCTTTGTGTGGATCACTCCTCCAAATATCCACATGACTGATTGTCTCGCTATTGTTCATACTTCAACCTCTAAGTAAAACCTACTTTGATCAATTTAATATTGCATTCTCCTCCTGATCCTCATATTTCAGATTTGGCTTACCTTGGCTTTTTATTGTCTTTATAACTCGTAAGCTTATACAATGCTACTTTTATGTAGTTAATTATGTCTTAATGCAAATTTAAGTTTACTAAAAGCAAGCAATGTTGTCCATTTGTTCACTCACTTATCTAAAAGACCTAAAGCAAGGTATTCCAAAGAGTTGATGCTTATCAAATATTTGCTTAACGCATAAATAAGTAAGTATCTCAATGTGAAATCCTAACAAAGACTAGAAATCTCGTCCTTAGTTGCTCAGGTTAATTGTAAACAAAATAAAACAAAAACATACAATACACTGGCATATCAAGTATCAGTCATCTTTTGGTGTGCATACAAAGTTAAATGTGTTGGAAATAACATTCCAGGGACTGAAATGATGCTGATTCTTACTGAAGTAACCATTCTCAGAATTTAAGACACTGATCAATTGTAGCCCTCAATGTATTATTACATAATTTTACATGGCTTTAATTACAAATTTCACAAAATAGGAGAGAAAACCTCATTTCTTCAAAACACTTGGTTTTGCCAAGTTATGCCCACAAAATAAAGTACCAAACAGAACAGAGTCTCATACTCAACATAATCAATGGTTTTCAAAGTGTATGAATTTATGAGTGTATGAAAGAATTACCTTGGGGGCTTAATAAAATGCAGACTCTTGCATCACCTTCAGTCCTACTGAATCTACATTTCTTAAAGTGGGGTCTACAAATAGGTTTTAAAAATAAGCAATTATTATAGATTCTTGGTGGTAAAAAGACCAAATTTGACAAACACTGCTCTCAGAAATCAAGAACATGAAAAATCCATTTGTGTTTTTCAAAAGCTGTCTTGGGTAAATTCTTAATTGCAGAATAACATCGACCAGATACATAAACACCTAGATTCCTAAGTAACAGAGAAAGTGCCTTATAAAATTATAAGATTATGCTTCTAAAATGAGAGAATAAGAGAAGCAATACAGAGTTAATATCTAATGCAGTGTTGTGACTTCAGTCACATATTTCCATTTTTTTTACCACAGTAAGAAAATATTAGATTTATCTCTGGTTAAAAGGTAATTAAGTATGTACTAAAAGACATTTAAATTTATATTGCTGAAAGAAATTACTATAAAACTTCAATAATATCATGCAACTACTTTCTGTCTTCTTCATCTATGGCTAATAATTAAAGTAATACTTTATTAAACCCATTATCACTAAAAATCAAAGCCTAAATGCAAATTTTCACCAAATCTTTTCCACAAAGACATTATACGGTCAGGGAGGGAATTTTAAAATGCCCCATCCTCTTCTCAATCTTACCTTTAAAATTTCTGGCTTTGTCTTTTCCATCACATGAGTCAGGCTAAAAAGGTGGAAGAGAGCTTCTCGGACAAAGAATGCCCGCTCACTATACCGCTTTAATGCTTCTGCAATCTGAGTTTCATTAGCTTCTCCAGACACCTTTAAACATAACCAAAAGATTAGATTTTCTTTCATCCCCTAACTTTCTCTAAATAAGCATCATTTGCCTTTATGGTATCGAGGATAACTACACAGACTTGAAACAAATGAGAATAGTTACTCTGCAACTAATGAAGAACAGTCATCCAAAGGGTGACAGTAACTAAAAGCTTATTTAATATAAACTTAGAGTCTGCTGTAAGCCTACAGGTAAAATTCTCTACAAGGCATATAAAATAAATCTCAAGATATTTAACACTATTTACAAAGCCTTAGCACATGATTAAGTCATCTTCAGGTTATTTTTTTAAAATGATTTTTGGGAAGTCATGCTTCTTTCCAGCAAAGGCTACAGCATATAATACTTTCTTTGCCTAGAACCTTCTTCCCATCTCTTGCTGCTTGATCCATTTACACACATTCTTTCTAATTCATGTTAAATTATGTTTCTTTAGAAAAGCTTTCTCTGACCCACTAATCAAAATTAGATACCCCAAATACATCTCATTTAATAATAATTTTAATAATCTCCTACTAGACTAACCAAATACTTTGCAATGGATCAGAATAATAATTCAAACTGCTCATCAAATATATACAAAAAATAATTTCCCTAGATTTACCAAACTTCCATTAAATGCTGAGAGGTCTGCCAGCATAGGACCAAGAAGCAGCTGTTCAAACAGACTGCATGGTCTGAAATCAGGAAAGGTGTGCCTCAGAGATGGATCTTCTCTATACATAGTCAATCAGTATGTTATACAAATAATTCCAGAAGCTAGTCTACATGAAGATTAATGTGCCATTAAATAGGATTGAAAGAAATATCATCAAGAAGCTACATTATGCAGATAATATAATTTTGCTTGCAGAAAGTGAAGAAGACTCACCTACTGAAGATTAAAACCTATAGCCCTTAATATCAGTTACATCTCAATGTCAAAAAAAACAGAAATCCTCACCACTGGACCAACTGGCAACATCGTGAAAGATGGAGAAAAGACTGAAGTTGTCCAGGATTTCATTCTACTTGGATCCACAATTAACATTCGTGGTAGCAGCAGTTAAGAAATCAAAATGGGCAAAATCTGCTGTCAAAGACCTCATTAGAGTATTAAAGAGCATCAGTTTAAAGGCTAAAGTGCATCTATCAGATCCAAGTCATGGTATTGCTTAAAGTATTTTTTAACTCAAAAATTAACCTATCAATTGATATGAAATAACATAAAATCTGAAATAGCACTACACAGTTCAAAGCTATGGTGATGGTGAGAGGCTGAGTGTAGTTCTGGGGAAAGAGCCAGCTAGCTCCTGCTATTCAATGTACAAGCTCTTTAACGACTCTCTCCAAATATAAGTTTCATTTAAAAAAAAAAAAATAAGAGAAGGATTAAAATTTTTTTTGGTTGATGAAAACAAGTACTAGTGTACATCTTTCATGAAAGTAAAACATGTAAGAGTAAACTTTGCAAAAGCAGGGGATAACCAGACTTTTTCTTAATGATTCAGAAAGGTATTTTAAGTTCAAGGCATTCTAACCTAAAAGAAACACCTTGAGAACTGATCTACTCTATATTCTCTATATGCATACTATTCTGAAATGTCCTTTCTACATGTTTGTTCTCTGAATTAACCAACTAATGTACAACCTTTCATAAGTCTCAAAAATTGTTATATTTTATCCTAGATCAATTGCATCATAAGTGTTTAGCTCAACAGCTAAGGACTTACTGATTTTTAAAAACTAGACAAAAATAATTCTAAAAATAAATTTAAAATTCACAATGTTCATCAGTGGATTAAAAGATATCTAAAAATTCTTTTCTTTTTTTGAAAGAAGTAATCACTATTATTCTTGGAGAAAACAGGATTCAAAATATTTGAATAAAAGATGAATGGAGAAGAGCGCATAGCTAGAGAACAGTTAGAGATATGAGAGTAAATGTTAAAAATGAACCTCTGTACAACCACTCTGGAAGGCAGTCTGGCACTTCCACATAAATCTGGACACAGAAATTCCACATGACCCAGCTATTCCATTGCTTGGAATATATCTCGAGAGAATGAGAACTGAGGCACATCAATGTTCATAGCAGCATTACTCACCATTGTGAAAACATGGAAATAGCCCAAATGTCCAACCACAATCAAATGAACTGAGGAATCATGGTACATTCACATATGGAATACCGAGCAGCACAAAGGAGCAATGACTTTGTAAATTACTACCTAACTTGGGAGGGACTGGAGAACATTACGCTAGGTGAACTAACTCAGTCCCATAAGGACAAATATTGTGTAAGACCATTATTGCAGAATGAGTATGAAGATTCAAGGTAGGGGATGGTGGGAGCAGAGGGGTGAGGATGGGGGGGGGCGTTAATCATAGAGCTGCACAATTTTATGGGGGTGTATGTGAAGGAAATAGGAAAGATAAGGTGTGAAAAACAATGTATATGAACTCTGTAAATAAACCAGTACAAAATAAAATTTTTTTTAAATGGACCTCTGGTAAATCAACTCGGAAAGAAATGAGACTACAGAGCATCTAGAAATAAGGATCAGGAGGCAGAAGGAACATACAGAGAAAAGGTTACATGAGATACTTAAACAGGATTTTGAATAAACATTTATGACCAAAATATGGTTTAACAAAAAATAAACCTTTGAAAAGGAAAAATAAGAATGAGCATCACAATGTCCTTTTGTTTGTTTTTTTTAATTTTTTTCTTTTAATTGAGATTTTAATGAAACTTTATAGAGAATTTAGATTTCCGTTCGTTCATTGTTGCACACACAATGTCCTTTATACCTCCACTCATAGTGGATAAAACAGTTTCTTAGCTATTTTAACCCCACAATTGCTTTCTTAATTGTTTTCTTTAGACAGAAAACTCTAGGGTCAAAGTCTTGTTGATAATTTCACCACACTATACCCCTAACCTTAAATAGAATAAATTGCCCATAGTAGACATTTAAAATAGTTTTCGAAAAAGTAAGGAAAGGACATTAAGACTGATAACAACTTAAGTTAAAGACAGCTTAGGCCAGAGCTCAAAACAGAGCAAGATCATAAATGCAAAACTGTTTCCAAAGGTCAGATAAAATTACCCTCCTTGGGAATGCAATAGTGGTGGCAGTGAGTTAGAAAAGAATTGATGGAAGTGGGGCTTATTTGGTTTTGCTTAATTTTGAACATATATTGGATTTTTATGCGAATCAATATATTTATCATATTTTTTTTAAACTGGGCAGCCTTCTTTTATGTTTGCTTCCTAGGCACACTGTATGTGTATGTGAACCAGACGAGTTACAGAAGGGCATCATTTGTAAATAAAGCAAAAGGTCATTGCAAAGACAGAAGAGAAAGAAAAGAGACTCTGGAATTTTTGCTGGAATGAAAAAAAAAACCAAACCAAAACAAGGGGAAGAAAAAGCTAAAGAAAGTTGAATAGAAGATTTCAAAGGGCAACTTAAGAAGACAAAATATTATAATAAAATAAGCAAAGAGCTAAAGTTAAAAAAACAAAAAGAAGGAACATACTGGGTTTATCTCAAACTGAAAGAACTGAAAAACAAATTCAAGGAAGACTCTCAATGAGATTGACTGATACAGTGACTACCACAAATGGCCCTGAGCACAACAGAGAGCATGAGGATTGTGCAGTACAGGGCAAGGCAAGATCTGTTGTTTGTAAGGTTGCTATTAGTCATGGTTAAATCAATAGTACCTAACAACATGTTGTTGTTGTTGTTCTTATGCGCCATCAAATCACCTGCAACTCTTAGCAACCCTATAAACAACAGCACTGAACCCTGCCCTGCCCTGAGCTCTTGTCTCTATCCTGAGACACACCTACTCATCACCCTTCAATCCATCTAATTGAGGGTCTTCCTCTTTCGCACTGTCCCTCCACCCTCCCAGGCATGATGTCCCTCTCTAAGGACTGGTCCCTCCTTGCAACATGAAGCTCCAGAATCCTTACCTCCAAAGAACAGCCTGGTTTCACCCTCTTCAGGATGAAATTCTTTGTTCTCCTAGCAGTCCATTTATATTCAATACAATTCTTCAGCTCCACAGCTCAAAAGCATCAATCCTCCTATTTTCCCTAGTCATTGTCCAACTTTCTGACACATAGCAAACAATTATGAAGACCATAGTCTAGATCAGGCACACCTTAGTCTCCAGACTGACCCTGTTGCTCTTCAGTACTCTGGAGATGTTCATGACAGCAGACTTTTGATTACTTGGTTGTTGGTACCAAGAATGTTGATTGTGGAGCCAAGTAAATGAAAGCTGTTACAATCTCAATCTCTTCACTGTTTATCAAGATGCTGCTAATTGGCCCAGTAGTAACAACTATCCATTTATGTGAGTATGTTATATACAGAAATACATGCTACTCCCTGCATGGTTGTTATTGTTAGATACCATCGAGTTGGAGCATAACTCACAGCAACACTACGAACAACAGATCTGAACCCTGTTCTATCCTGCACCATCCTCACACTTCCTAACACACAAGAGCTCACTGCAGCAGTCACTGTATCAATCCATTTGGCTGAGGGTCTTCCTTTCCTTCACCAACCCTCCACTCTTCCCAGCATCATGTCCTTCTACGAGGAATAGCATACTTCCTAGCCATAGGTCCAAAGTATGTGAGGCGAAGCCTCATCATTCTTGCCTCCAAAGAGCATGTCGGGTGCACCCTCTTCAAGATATATCTGTTCATTCTCTTGGCTGTCCATGGGAAGTTCAGTGCTCTTCTCCAACACCACAGCTCAAAGACATCAATTCTTTTTCTGTCATCCTTATTCATTGTGCTACTCTCAGATACATAGCGGGTAATCGGAAAGATTATGGTCTGAACCAGATGCACCTTAGTCTTCAAACCAACATCACTACCCTTTAATAACTTGGAAAGGTCCCTAAGTGCAGACTTTCAACTTTCAAAAAAAATCAACTGAAAATCCCATAAGAGCACTGTTCTATTCTGACA